AACAAACACACACACAAGCTTAAAAGGTCCGGTGTTGTCTTATTGTTCTATTTTAAAATTCTTTTTGTTATGAAATGCTCATTCTAGCAGCCAGCTCTTGCACACTATACCCATTGAACTAATTTAGTTAAACATTTAATTCAGGTCCGCAATAGACCTATGAGATAAAAACCCAACCCCCCATATGTAGGGGCAGCCTAGGCAGCCTACGGGCCTGACAATGTTTGTTTTGATACGAGACGGTCGTTCATAGTTATCTATAATAGTAGCCTCATAACAATAGCATATTATATTACTTGTRTTTTATCTAGAAACAAGGGAATATTTTAGAATTTGTTATCATTATAACTGTCATAATAATTTTCTATTTATTTCAATCCTATAGCCTCCAACAGCTCGGGATAAAGTATTAGGATTTCTAAAAAAAACAAGCCTATTTGCTTGCCAAATCTATATAAAATGTAACAAATATTTTTAAGAACTCTGCAATGTTGTGCCATATTTTGAAAATTCTTGTATTAGAAATTTATATATTTATAATATTTTATTGGATCCTTTTTTTAACTTCTCTTCGTTCCATTCTAGGGCAAAGTAATACATCATTTTTCCAGTAAATCAAATCGTACACGATCTTTGAAGTCGCATAGAACATAACCCCTTTTTTAACTCACTTCAGCTTATCCTATTGTCGTATAGCTCGGTATGTAGGTATTTTGACTGCAATTAGCCTTGTATTATAAAATGGACAAAAAATGCATGGTTTTCTTGCGGCGTCTGCGTTGGCCGGGTGTGAAGTGTCTGATCCCGCAAGCCAGTCGATTRCACGTGAAATGATGTTATGAAATAGATTCCACTCCGTATATGATTTTGTGAAAGTGAATTACTTTTGTTGCACACGAATTCGGATAATGGATAGCATAGCCTGTTGAACTGGTTGTAGAACTATATGTTAAAGACATTCTTTACTTTTATTTAATTTAAATTATCCTCACAATCTTTGGACGTCTCTTTCTACAATTTTCGTCGCTCAGTTTTTCTTTTACTGCTTCGACCTGATGGGCACAAATGAAATAACCGAGGTAAAGCCGATGATCCAGCGAGACTTGCCGTTATTTCTCAATAATATGATAGACATGATACTCACAATGATCCGGAATATTTAGCGCACAGACTAATTTGACGGATCACCAGGACGGATTATTAGGACGGACCAGCAGGACGGACCAGCAGGACGGACCACCGGGACGGACCACCAGGACGGACCACCGGGACGGACCACCGGGACGGATTCACAGGACGGACCACCAGGACGGACCATTAGGACGGATTCACAGGATGGACCACCAGGACGGATCACCAGGACGGATTAACAGGACGAAACACCAGGACGGACCACCAGGACGGACCACCAGGAC